TCTAGTTAAAAATCAGTGCGGGCCAATTTTTAAATCAACAATGAAAAGGTTTTTACAGAAGTGCAAATATCAAGACTACAATAGGAATCTTCTTATAGTGTTGATGGGACTGTAAGCTGACAGGACTACTAAAGACGTCAGGATGAAGAGTCCTCCCAAAACTGGAACTAGAAACGCCACTTGGCCCGGTTATTCCGCTTTGGGGTGACTTCCTGAAAGAGAAACGTCATATCCCAACAATACTTGCATATCCGTGTGTATAAGAGCACAATTCACAACAGCAAAGTTACGGAAGGAACCTCCAAATGTGATATATTCCTCAGCCATAAAGAGAATACAACTCAGCCACAAAGAAGGCATTATGAGGCATTAGTAGAAAAATAGGCGGATCTTGTGACCATGATGGTAAGGAAAGTAAATCAGACATCGAAGGTCACTTTAATAATTTCTCATGTGGGATGTGGTTTCTGCTGTGTGAGAAACAAAAATATCAATATTTAAGGAACAAAATAAAGCCGGGCATGGTGGTGCACGTCTGTAATCCCAGCACTCGGGAGGCTGAGGCAGGAGCATCTCTGTGAGTTCAAGAGTGCACAAGAGAAAACTAATAAAATGTTCATGAAAGCAAGACAGGGAACCATGCCTGATTCTTTAGAGTGGCAAGTCCCTAGCAAGACCAGGATAAACTTTTGGATTGCTAGTTAAAGTGCTACCAGCACCCAGCACTCGGGAGGCTGAGGCAGGAGCATCTCTGTGAGTTCAAGAGCAGCCTGGGCTACACAGTGAGTTCCAGGTCAGACTCAACTACATAGTGAGACCCTGTCTCAAAAACCAAAACAAAACAAACAATGAGCAAAATAAAAGACAAGTGGGAGGAATCGGGGATATAGACTTTGTGGAAAGGGGAAGGGGAGCTGAGGAAAAAGAAGGAGGGAGGCCAGGGGGAGGAGAGTAAACGTGATCGAGCTGTGCTGTGTCTATGCACCAATGCCTGAAGAAGACGTATTGTGCGTCACAGACGTGTACTGATATTTTAAAAATTAAAATATCTTTGAAAGCGAGGCTTGGTGGCACACACCTCTGGGAGGCAGAGGCAGGAAGAGCAAAAGTTTGAGGCCAAACCCAGCACAGTTGCACACGACTGTGATCCCAGCACTCAGGAGGCTGAGACAGGAGGAGAGTTGCACGATCAAGGCCAGCCTGAGCTACATAGTGGGTTCAAGGCCAGCTGGGACTACACAGTGAGACTCTGTCTCAGAAAGAAACAAACTTTGAGGCCAACCTGGACAACTTAGCAAGGCACTGTCTCGTTGCCTCAAAATAAAAAATAAAATAAAAAGGACTGAGGATGTAATTCAGTGTGAAGCCTCGGGGTTCAATCCCTACTGCTGCAAAATAAATCAATTAGTCAATCAATAAATAAAGAGAGCAGTTGGAAGAGGATGTATTGCAAGTTCCATGACAAATGACGATAAGAATTCACTGAAGTGGATGGAAATAAGAAAGCTGACTATCGTATGTAATTTGTTTAAAGATGATAAAATGTAATGTATTATGAGATATTGGCAAATTCACAGTGAATTTGATAAATATTCTCTCAGCATCCCAGAAAGCATTGATGAAATTACCTGAAATTAAAATTGAATATCTAAGAAGAAAAAAAGATTTTTTTAATTTTAAAAACTACTTTCGACAGGCTCCTGTGTCATCCCTTTGGTCAGGTATGAAATCACTTTGATTCAGACTGGGGATTTAGCTCAGTGGTCCCACTGCCCGCCTCGTAAGCACGATGTCCCAAGTTCTGATCCCCGGTACAAAAAAAAAAAGTTTACTTTGATTCTCACCTACACAGATGCACATATACTTTTAGGTGGAAAGATAGTAAATTATTTCAGTTATAGAAATTTTGTCCTCAATTTATGAGGAAAACAGTAAAAATTATATTTCACAAAAAGTAGCCACTTCAATTAGTCACAAACACAATAGCTTAAAAAATGCAAGATCTTAACAGTAACCAATTCAAATTCTGAAAAAACTACAAGTTTGTTTTTTCATTTTTACTTTAGGAGGGTCTGGAGATATAAAATATACTGCCCATTAGTACTTTGGGTATATTTTGTCCCAAACACTTTTTAATTTACAAAGAAATAGTGTTTATTCATGACCCAAAATGTCAAACTCACAGTATACGTATTTTGCCAATGCTTTTCATCTGTCAGATGGGAATTTTGGGTAGGTATGTAGACATTAGTTTCTAACACAATAAACAGTTTGCTAACTATGTTAGGCCAAAAGTCCAGATTTATTGGAATTCTTTTTAAAGACTGTTGTTTCCTCTGTTTCTTTGTTTCACTGCACGATACAGCTTAAAAATATTTATGTTCACTTTTCTAACACAAATCCCCATGACACATGTCCTAGGTACAGTTGTTAAGATCATCAGTGTACACACGCGAATACAATGAATCATTGTAAGTTTGGGATCTGTTGGAAGAGGTAGAAGACAGTGAATTTAATGGCTTCATGACTTCTTTGCCAAGGTTCTTTTCTTGCATTGGGGAAGAGTTTTACAGAGATTTACTCTACTGCTATATTCAATTCAAGATCATCTTGAAAATATATAATATTGGGTGGGCATGGTGGTGAGTGCCTGTAATTCCAGCACTTGGGACGCGGAGGCAGGAGGATCCCCCTGAGTGTGAGACCAGCCTGGGCTACACAGTGAGTTTAAGGCCAGCCTGAACTGCATAGTGAGACACTGTCTCAAAAAAATTTTTTTGCCAAGTAGTTAAAAAATAAGAGACAAATTGGGCTGGGGATTTAGTTCAGTGGTTCCGCCACCTGCCTCGAAAGCACAAGGTCCTGAGTTTGATCCCCAGAACCATAACAGGAAAAAAAAAAAAAAAAAAAAGACAAATCATGATGTGACTGTGATGTTCATTTCTATATCAACATCACACTGTAACTGAATGAGCCAAATATGAACCTCCAAGGAAAGGGAAAGCTTATCTGTCGTGCAGCTACACAGAGGTGAGATTTTATTTTGGGGGGGGTACAGGGGATCGAATTTGGGACCTGGTGCCCATGAGGTAGCAGCAGAACTGTGGAGCTAAATAAACCCTTACCCAGCGGCGCGATTTTAAATTCTGACTTTCACAATCTAGTCAGTAACAGTTTTCATATATACAGTTTTCATAGGCGACCACACGTGCTGAGGACTTTGCACTGCATTCTGTAAACTGATGTAAAAGAGTGCGAAAAATGCGAAGTGATGGTCACTGCTGATAGAGGTGCTTTCCAGTTGCCCCGTAGGCTTCAACCTTGCCAATGGATTTCCTTCACTTGCACACACACAGTTTTGAAACTGATAGTCAAAATGATTACTGATAAAAAGATGGACCATTTTTGGCCAGGCGTGGTGGCTCACGCCTGTAATCCTAGCACTAGGGAGGCTGAGGCAGGAGGATCACTATGAGTTTGAGACCAGCCTGGGTACATAGTGAGTTCCAGGTCAGTCTCAACTACGTAGTGAGACCCTGTCTCAAAAAAAAAAAAAAAAAAAAAAAAAAAAAAAAAAGATGGACCAGTTTTGTCCATGTGTATGCAAATAATGAATAAGAATGGGTTTTCTTCAGCTAATGGAAAACTTCTAGGCATGTTTGGAATGCACTATATGTAAGCTTTTCCAACTGTAAATGCATAAAATAATGAACTTCATTCAACCCATCCATTCCCATTAAAATTCAACACCGAAATCTGGTGAATTGGAAGTGTACTGAGATACACTTCGAACGAAGAAAAGACTCTAAAATGCCTTGATATTTTTATATTGATTGCACATTTGAAGATGATATTTTGGTGGCATTGGATTACACAAAGGATATCATTCAAATCAATCTGCTTGTTTATTCTTGTTTTTTTAATGGACTATTAAAATGTAAATGACCAATCTGATTGGATTTATTGCCCTCGCACCATGCCCGGCCTGCTGGGTGGCTGCCTCTCCTCCCCCACGCACTGGCAACAGCAAGCAGGTGGGTACAGCCTGGGTGGGAATAGGTACCAGGCCGGGTGAGGATTCTTCTGATTGGAGAAGAGCTGGGGTGTTCCCTGTTGCCTGCCTGCTTTCTTCTTCTAATTAGGAAAGAAAGAGGACCGGAGATTTAGCTGAGTGGCACCAGGCCTGCCTCCCAAGTGCAAAGTCCTGAGTTCGATCCCCAGTTCTCATGAAAGAAAGGGGACGGTCACTTTCCCAGCTCACAGCCACGTCCCTCTGGACCTCTAGCTGGCCAGATAAAGTACATCAGAGTCTTCTCCAAGGGCCTGAGAGTGAAGTAAGATGTGTTTTCTCTAGGAGGTGCAGGAGTGAGTAGCTGCGGGCGTTTGGCCTCAGGACTCTCAGAAGTCCCTAAGTGCAGAGAGGGAGAAATTCTGACTTTCTGGCATCTGAGAGGCTGGGGCTCTGACAGTGGAAATTCACCCTATGAAAGTAAAAGTAAAAGAAGGCTAGGGTTTGGTGAAAGTCCTTCACAGGACAAAGTCATGTAATTTGCCCTTACGTGTCTTAGTGCTATTCTTTGTGTATGAGACAGAAGACTGGTGCACAGCAAGTGATGGGTATAATCATTCCTTCTTTATTTTAATTGTCATTTTTGAGGGAATCGTGGCATAAACGCCCTGATTGCTCTTCTGTCTTGCTGAGGGTGGAGTTTGTTGGAGAGAACCACTGTTTGCCCAAATGTGGCAGCCGAGGAACCGCTCTCCGGCTGCCCTCAGTTCTGCCCTGGCCCAGGCCTGGCCCTGCGTGGGCAGCGGCAGCCTCGGTGGACAGAGCTGGGCGTGACATCATTTCCACAAAGCAGGTTGTCGTAACCAGAGGGCAGAGTGCAAACCATAAGAAAGCAGGTACGCATAATTATTTATCGTTTTTGCTTTTTATTTCTATTTATTTTGTTAAGTAAGAAACACTTTTCACCTTGTTCCTGGAAAAGATAGCTGCTGTACAGGATCCAAGACCGATACCCCTCATACCTGAGTTCTCGCCCACCACATCCTCCGTCCTGGCTCAATCCCCCATCTCCCTGATTGAGAACCTGCTGTAAACAATCTTCCTGCCCAGAGAGCGGGGGCATAATTGGAGTACAAGTCCGGGCAGGAGGCACGGGGTGCTCTGAAGCCTCTCTCTGTCTCCCCTGGAAGACGGCTTCTCTCTCGCTTGTGTTGTTAGTTTAAATGCATGTGTTCTTGCTGTCATCTTCCCTGTGCTGTTGAACAAAGTGCCCTCTAAGAAAGTCAAAAAGCCTGTGAAAAAAAAAACACAAGACCTGGGAGGCTGGGCAGGCCCACCAATTGAGCAGAAAGCAGAGTGAAAAAAGCCTTCTGACAGCCGCAGGAAGGAGGCCTGATTTGCATCTGATTCTAAGCCACTCAGTTTGGTCTGTTCTTACTAACAAGCTCATTAAGTGTAACTGGTGTTCCAAATTCTTCATACATTTCAGAAACCTCCACAGATTTATCGTATAGATTGTGAGAGTGTTTTAGTGATATCTGGGGAAATAGGCTGGAGTTTTGAGAAATGCCTTTTAATTTTCTCTTAAAATAATGAAATACAGACTTATCCTTTCCGAAATTTCAAAATCCAAAATGTTTTCAGGAAAAGTTGGATTGAGAGGTTCAGGGTGCCCGAGGCACACCCTGAAAGCTGTGTTAGACAGTGTTGGAACAAATGAGTGTTTCTGCATCTAAAAAACCCTTTTAATTACAAAGAACTTAATTTTTTGTTGTTACTTAGAGATTGTTGGCAAGCAAGTGATTCTAGATAATGCTCTATGAGAACTTCAAAATGACCTTCTGATACTCAAGTTAGAATCCCAAATAAAAATCTTTCAAATGCACATACACGCATTTGAAATATTTCAGGCCTTTTATGTTTTCTTTGCCACCCAAAGGGAAAAAAAACACCGAATGTGGAAGCCATCCTGTCGTTGGTCCTATCGTCTGTATTGTGTGGTTGTGCTTAGCTGATTTGTCTCTGGTTGCCCGTCCTCACCTCTCGCTATCCTGGCCGCAAATACCAGCTCTGGGAATTCTCCAGTTAAACACTTCCTGATTGAGCACAACAGCTGTGGGTTCAGAAAGCATCAAGTCCACGTTTGTCTTATGTCAGGTTGAAATGTCTCCCGCTGGGGACCGCGGCCCGCCATGGGGCAGGTGACTGCTGTGGTCACATGGTGGTCTTCATGGTTCTGGCCACCCTCCCAGTTTGCAGACCCTCTGTGTCCAGTTAAGGGTACTGCTCAAAGCTACTTTGTGTCCTGCAGTCTCCCTGGATACATGTGGACGAATCCCTGCAGAGCTTCCAGTGCAAGATACAGGGTAAATGACTTTTTGGAAAATGAGTGGATAAAATATGACAATGCCAACTTGCGAAACCCTCACCAGTTCTGAGGGACGAGGGACTACAGGGGAGTTCGGTCGTGGGGCAGACTAGATTTCTGAATTCTCTGCTATAAGAGACAACAGAGTATAATTGACCAGGTAGTTTTGGTTTTAAAGATCATAAAGAACAAAAGCACACCCCGCTCAATGTGGACCCGGGCCGGGACCTCTAGAAAGCTCTTTTGGTAGAACCACAGGGGTGACTTCTTGGTGAAGGGGGATCAGAAGGAACACACTCCACTTCTAGACACACAGAGAGGATAAATACATCCTTTACTCCTTTCTGAAACCTCACTGGAATCAGAGCAAAGAGAATTCCTAACACACAGCTCACAAGAGCAATGCCCGCAGGAGAAAATCAATAGTGGTAAAATACTGGAAGTGGAGACTTATGGGGTGGGGGACAACTGATGTAGAAGACCCTCGGGAGGCTGGGAAAACCCCAACCCTTGCCTTGCAGTGGAAAAAGCTGAAAAAAACAACAGCCTTTTTTGACAAATAAATCCCTTAGGAAGCTCAGAACTGGCGGGAGGAACGTGAGGCAGTGGGGTTACTTACTTGAAGTTGAAGTTATTAGTTGCAGTGAATTATTAGTCAGCTTGCAGAGTGGCCAGGCCACTGTCCTGCCCTGCACGGGCCCAGGTGCTCCTGCAGTCAAGCAAGGTGACCAGCTCTCTCCCTGCTGGAGGACAGGGCAGAGCCGTGAATCGCCACACCTCAGGGACAGGCATTTCGCTGAAACAGTGCATGCAGGGCCCAGCCCACTTCTCTGCTAGTTCCCAGGACACAGCCCAGACAGGAGAAGGGAAACTCTCTGGGCCTCCGACAAGCACAGGAGAAAAGATCCACAGCTGCTAATGTCAGGGCTCCCCCAAAAACACACCTCAGCCGCACCCCAAGGCCTGAGCCGGGTGCTTCCAGTCAGGCCCCACAACCCCTGTGTTATTAAATAAGCCACCCTCAGGAGTCATCAGATATCAAAGAAGGCTCTGTCCTGAAAGATAAAGACCAAAACAAATAAACAAAGGCACAAACAGGGAAATAAAAGGTCTCTCGGAAATGAAGACTGCAGGAAGACAATTTTTTAAAAGAATTACCCTCAGTATCCTTAGAGAGATAAGAAAAGATATGCCCACAAAACAAAAATAAAGTGCCAAAAATAAAGACAGAAAAGAAAAAGAAACCTAATGTTCTGAAAACAAATTATGAATCATTCTGAAAACAAACAAACAAAAAAACATTCTAGAGTTAAAAACGTAATAAAAGAGTTCAGAATCACCTCAAATGGAGTAAAAACACAAAATGGAAGACATTATTGAAAGTCAAAGAACTGATTCAGAAAGTCCTCAAACAACAAAATAAGGCAAGACATGCCGATAAGTGTTCCCAGAGACAGAGGCTTCTAAGAACCCAGTTATGTGGAAAATATATTAACACTCCAAGGCCCTCACAGCTCCTCAGAACACAAAGGAGCACAGGAAAGAGTGCACACGCTTCCCAGAGAAGAAAACAACCCATTCAGAGATCTAGAGTTAGGACAGCTTCGGACTTCTTCCGGAGAGCAGCCCTGGAACCTGAAAGACCCTGGAGCAATGCCTTCCGAATTTTAGAATTTCGAATCAATTTATGATCAAGAATTTTATTCTTAAGACTATGAGAGTGGGCTGAAGACCATTTCAAATACGTAAGTTGTAAAACAGTTTGCGGTCCATCGTCTCTCCGGAAGCTGGCGAGGACTCACTTGTCGCAGATGAAAGAGTGACGAAGCGAAGGTTAGGTGCAGGAAACAGGAAGTACCGCAGGAGCGAAGCAGACGACTCCGGAGAAGGGCTAGACGGGAGCTCCTGCCACTGACACGGAGCCCCAGGGCAATGGGAGCAGCGCCCCTCAGAGCTGGTTTTCAGCACCAAGAAGACCCCTGCCCGTCGGAGGGGGTGGGAGTCTGAGGCGGGCTTGGCTGCGGTAAGGGGAGAGCAGACAACCTGAGCAGATCAGAACTCAGGAACGGGGTTATTCCAGCGAAGAGAGCAAATACTTCACGTAAGGGGAGAAGTTCAAAAGCTACCTCTTGGGGCCAGGGATTTGGCTCAGTGGTTCTGCTGCTGCCTGCCTCGCAAATGCAAGGTCCTGAGTTCTACCCCTGGTACCAAAATAAATAAAAGAAAAGAAAAAGAAAGCAAGAAAGAAGGGGAATTAAGCAAGGTAAGAAATTATAGAAAGAACAAGAAAGTGTACACAAAGAAGAGAGCCAAGAGCTGATGTTTTAAAATGTTTACAACTGATCTTTGACTACATTAAGAAAGGAATAAAAATATGAAATTTGAAACAAAATCATGAAATTTGGATTTTTAAATCATTCATAACTGTAGATAGGGAACATAATTCAAAAAGTTGAGGCTAGTAGAAGTACTGATACACTTTAAAGAGTGAAAGGAAAAATATTACATGTCAAAATCAACTCAAGAACAACAAAAAATCTGCATATACTAAAACTATTCAGTACATTGAGTGAATAGTTAAACATTCACACATAAACACACCCTCATAGTGGTGAGCTCCACCAAAATCTTAACGAATTAATAATCCCAATGTTATACAAATGCGTCCAGGTAACAGAAAGGAAACCCTAGTCAACCTTTCTTACTAGGCCAATATAACTTTAATTCAAAAGTAGACATTAGGACGGAAAGACAAGCATTGTGTCAACACATTAATAAAAACAAATTCAAATTTCAAGACGAAATACTCAAAAAGCCAGCAATGTATTGAGAACTTGGTGGAAGGAATCTGCTGGTAACGTGATTTTATACGTTAACAAATTAAAGCGAGACAAGATCACTTCACTGGATGCTGGAAAGAATCTAGGAAAGGTTAAGTGTGCTTCACATTAAAGAGATGTGAATTGCCCTCCTTCATGAAGAATACTGTATTAATTAGGAGTACGGCATCTGCACATAACTGAAACCCCACTCCTGGTAGCAGGAGGCAGCACGCCTCCCTCCCGTAGGAGACACTCCAGGAAGACCGTGGTGCTTGGCTGGCTTCCAGCATCAGGGATGCAGCCTCTCTTTGCTCTGCCATCGCTGAGCTTGGCTTCAGCTTCACAGTTTGGCCTGAACTCCACAGCTGAGTCATCCTGTCTGCTCTCCTTCTTCCTGCATGGTGTGCTTGCTGCGAAGGTGGTCACAGCTACGATGCCTACTCCAGATGTTGTTCTGCGATAGGACCGTTCCCGTTGTCCCAGAGTGGAGCCTGTTATTCCTCCACCTTTAGATAGGGAGAGGCCCTATCTGCTTTGATCAGGACAAGCACCAGGCCAGTCTTTGGAGCAGCCACTCTTCCTGACTCTTTGTGGCCAGGATCAACACCAGTATTCTGTGGCTGCACTGCTGTGAGCAGCCCTAAAAGTATCCAAATGTGATGGCACACACCTGTGATCCTAGCACTCAAGAAGCTGAGGCAGGAGGATCACCTTGAGTTCAAGAGAAATCTTATATTAAAAAAATAAATGTATTGAAACATTAAAAATAAGTAAACAGTGAACTTTATGATATTCATGAATAGACTTAATATTATAAAATTCCCAAATCCTCCCAATTTAATCTTTGTATTTGCCATAATTATAATAACAATAATATTTTTTCTGGGTTAGCTGATTCTAAAATTTTATATGGAGATGTGAAAGTTCAATAATAGTCAAGATACTTTTCTTAAAAAGGATGAGGTAGGGAGGATTGCCTCTATCATCTATAAATGAAGATATATTTTGGAACCATAGTAATTAAAATAGGCCTTGGTATATGATTGAAATATAAACAGATGACATAGACTTAGGCCACCCAAAATTTAGACAGCATAGAAAAGTTATCTAAGATTGAAGTGACTTTTAGGACAGATAAAGAAAAGATAGACTATTAATTAATCAGTGCTAGTTCAGTTAGCCTCATGCAAAATAATAATACTGAACTCTCTCCCAACAATACCAGGGTCAGTTACACTTGGATTAAAGACCGAGTGTGAAAAGGCAAAATTTAAGATTTTTGAATAAAATTGTGTATGGCAATATTTCTTTAAAATTATAATATAGGGAGCTGGGGGTTTGGCTCAGTGGTTCCACCACCTGCCTCACAAGCGCAAGGACCCGAGTTCAAACCCCAAAAAATCCAAGCTCTTCCGTCCCTCGGCTTCTGCAAATCATGTTCTCCTCGTGCCTCTGTATTTCTCTTCTGAATTTTTCTCAGGCCAAGCTGTTACTGTTGTGCTAAATCAGGTGCAGTGCACACCGGTGTGTTTCCGGACACCAGTTTGTCCCCATCCCCAAAACCACGGTCTTAAGTGCTGCACCTCTGCCATGGCCCCTCGTGCATAAGAGCCTAAGGTCCCCAGGTTTGCTCTCCCTCGAGCTTGTCTTAACTGGCGCTGGCCTTTGATTTAAATTCAAATTTGGAAAAGTGTTCTTGTTGTTTTTTTAAGTATTCTTTCTGTAAAGGCGAAAGAGTTTGGAAACTTCTGAAATTCTGAAGAATGACAGCATCGAATCTAGTCATTCTCGCCATTTTAGGCTCTAGCCCAGGAGACGGGTCTCAAAGCCTCCCTGTCTGCCCGCTGCGCCTTGTTCACCTCTCCCCTACAGGCCCTCACACGCTATTCGAGTGACTGTCCTGCAGATGACAGTGACCGTTGCTTATGTCCTCTGTCTATGGATCCCAACAGCCCACAGGCAGGGACACTGTCAACCATTTAATAAACTAGGAAATGGACATACGGTAAAGTAAACCTACTTGTCTGTGTTCACGTGACTTGTGAAGTTTAAAGTGGGAATTCGTATTTAGGCCTGTCTAATTCCAAAGCTTTTTTTTTTTATTTACTCCTCTTCTTCTATTATACTTAATCACAGAATTTAAATTTAAGTTATTAAAGATCTGTTGTTTACCTTTAAAAAACCCAATGGATAACTTCCTCCACATAATATATACTATATTTCTCCCAAAATAAGACCTACTTGAAAAAAAAAACTGTATGATTTTTCAGGATGTTCATGGCATAAACCCTATTCCAAAAACAGGCCCCAGTTAAATACAAGTTTATGTTGTTGTTTCATTTTGCTTTTTTTTGGTACTGGGGATTAAACTCGGGACCTTGTGCTTGCCAGGCAGGCAGTGGAACCACTAAGCTAAATGCTTGTCTAGGCCCCAGTTAAATTGATCAGCCAGACAGACACATTTAGTATGTCTGTCGCAACACATGAATTATAATTATATTAATATATAAATAAATATTGCTGACATCAATGCTTAAAATAAATAATATAAATTATAATTAAATATTTGTAAATACCATCCTTTTTTCTTTTGTTATTTTTGAGACCGGGTCTTACTCTAGTTCAGGATGGCCTTGAACTCACTATGTACCCCAGGCTGGACTTGAACTTGCGGCAATCCCCTGCCTCAGCCTGAGTGTTGGGAATAGAGGAACAGGCTACCACCCCTTCCCCAAATAGGATCTAACACCAGTAAATAAGGCTTCAAGGTAAATAAACTCAATTTGGGAATGCCATATCTATATTTTCTCACACCAAAGCAATTTCTGCTGTTTGAGTCTTTGACAGCTGAGGAACAAATCCTCCAGCCTTCCCTGGAGTAAGCCAAGGAGCGTTTGCTCTGTAAATGAGCTCTGCGCGTCAGGGCATGACAGGAAGTGCTCGTCTCTGGAGCCTCACGGGGAGGTGGGCGTGTTGGCCAGCTTGCTTCGCTGTGACTTGATGCCTGACTAGAACGACTTGAAGGAAGCAAGGTCGGTTCCACCTCAGGGCTTCAGTCCTTGGCCTGCGGGCTTCGTGGCTGCGGCCTGTGGAGAGGCAGGAACACCATGGTGAAGGCTGTGGCGGGAAAGCTGCTCCCCTCATGGCAGCCAGGAAGCAGAAAGAGAAGCACAGA